TTTTTTTTTTTTTTTTTACTTTTTTTTTACAAGCATGTAGATGTTTAACAACCCATTAAAACAAATGCAGGAAATCACATCTACTTTATTAAAAATTTTCTGGGGGAGGACTCCCAGATGCTCGCCCACCCACTATTTGCATTCCAGCATCCATCGGTTTATATTTAAGCTCTGTTACTTGGTAAAACTACTGCTGTTGTGATTCTGTTCAGTTTTATGTAAAGAGTTTTCTGTAATAATTTAAAGAAGTGGCAATATATTTATTATGTTCATTATGTGAATAGGTAAAGTTTTAAAGTGGTTTTTGATACTGGTAATTTTTATCAAAACTGTAATTTTTGGAAGTTGAAAATTTTTTTTTTCTTAATTGTGTCTTGAATGAAATATATTCCATGTTTAAAAATATAAAAATCGTATTAACACTATTAAAGAACAGGTCTTAAGTATTTATGTTCAAGTCAAGTCAAAGTTAATTTATATAGCACATTTACAACCTCAGCTGACCAAAGTGCTTCACAGTAATTACAGCATCATTCATTCAACCTTTATTTCTACAGGTAATCCCATTGAGCCTCGAGGACTCATTTACAAGAGAGACCTGATTTCAACAAAGAAAGATGACAACAACGGACATAGACAGCCACAAAAAGGCATTCAGATTTATTTTTTTTTTTTTACAAATAAGATGGCAATAAAAGTAACAAAAAGCAGCTAGATTCTAAGGCGAATGTAGAAAACTAAAAACAGGAACATGTCTGCATTGGTCCTTGCCAGGAGTCCAACAGATTCTTAAAGACACTTAGAGAGAGAGATAGATAGATATATGATAAAAATTGAGTTTAAAAAATAAAAGTATGATTAAAAATATTGCAGTAAAATGCCAATGAAATAATAGTACAAATAAAAACCAAGACATAATTTAGTTGAGTTCTGCAATTTCCCAAAAACTCAAAACCAATCAAGTACTAGTTTGAAGTTGAAGGGAAATTGAAGGCCATGGAAAAATAGATGCATTTTCAGACTGGACTTAAACTGATCTACTGACAGAAAGCTTAACAGACAGAGGGAGACTGTTCCACAGTCTGGGTGCTGGCACAGAGAAGACCTCTAGTCTTTAACCTCGCTTTAGGGACAGCCATCTGGTCGGCTGACCTCAGGGCTCTGGATGGACTGCAACACTTCACTTAAGTAAGATGGGCCCATAGAGTTTAAACACTTAAAAACAATCAATAAAGCTCTAAATTTCACCTGAAAAGCAACAGGGAGCCTGTGAAGGGAGTGCAAAACGGGGTAATAGATTCATGCCTCTTTGTCTGTATTTATTTCCAAATTTTCCATTGCATTAAAAAGACAAATTGAAGAAAATTATTTAATAAACATGAGGATTATGAGGGGGTCCCTGAAACTTTTTCTCCCCTGTAAAGAGTCCCTGAACCCAAAGTTTGAGAACCCCTGGTCTAAAGCAATAGCCAGAATTATTATCTTAGTTGTAAATAAAGAAAATAATTTAGCTGATTCGTTTGTCGACTCACTCAACAAAATTACAGTGTGTAAAAATCCCCAAAGACAAAAATTTATATCAAAATAAGTCAAATCTTATCTATAAACTTTCCTCTTCTAAGTCCTATTCTTTATGATATTCTAAAACACATAATCAACATAAAAAAAAAACATTTTGGTGAACGTAATGAAAACTAGAGACATTTCAAGCTGTGTTAATTCTGTTTAAAAACGTTTCCATAAAAGTGTCTGTGGAGTGGGCCATCTTCGTTTACAGACAATCTTTAGTGCTAGAACTTTTTCTGGTTTTGACGTATTTCCATTGACGTCACGTTTGATTTCTCCAGATGACCTACTTCCAAACAAGTGTTAAAAGGTTTTAAACCGTCCAGATGGGTCGACGTAACGCGCAATCCGAACCTAAACCTGTGCACATTTTATAAAATACACTTCTTTAAACAATACAACCGACGTTGATCGCAATTTTTTTTTTTATTAAATTAGTTAAATAGAACTAAACAGAATATTTATTTGTCATATAAGTTACACTGCAGAACTGGCTTGTACAAACATTCTATCAGAAAAGTTAAAAACATGCTGGAAGAATCTGCAAATCAAGGGTATTTCAAATTCTTGTATTCTCTGGACTTTTCTGTCACCTATTTTTAATTGTGTCAGGAGGAAGCCATTTATTGAATCATTTAGCTTTGTTTTTAAAATCAGCACGTTTCAGAGATATTGGTTTTTCACAAAAATAGCAAGGAATAAAGTTTTGATTATATTCATTTTAACACGTACAAAAATATGACAGTGATGATCAGAAGATCAGCCTCTAGTCATCATGCAGTTGAAGTAATTCCTGAAATACAACTTTTCCAGGGTGAATTACCACTAAATGTATTGAACATTATTTAAATCAGTATGACTTTACTAGGCAATTTAAACTGGTTATTCAATAACTTAATGACTTTAGAGTGCAGATCAATTTATTTATTAAAAATGTCAATGTATAGTACAGTAAAGGCTAATTTTGACCTTTATCATTAACATTTTGGTTCTCTTGTCCCGTTAGTCGTTTTGAAAGTTAATGATTGTTCAAATTACATATTACTATCTATCAGGCATGCACATATATGAAAAGGCCGTAGACAAATCTTAATTGCATTTTTATTTATGCTCAAGCTACAAAAACTGGACACTGTCGAAACCTGGGATCGAACCAGCGACCTTTAGATCTTCACGCTCTTCTAGCTGAGCTATTTCACATCCTCCTAAACATGGAGAAATCGCACCATGACGTCACCGCGACGCCCACTCTGCGCGCAGTGGCTCATGGGAGGAAAGGTCAAGAATCGATGGCTGTTGATGAGAATTAGTGTTAAGTGGATTATCGCTTGTGGAGCGGCTTCCCTTGACTCAACTACTCTGTTATTGCACGTGAAGCCGAGCGTCGCTGCCGTTTAGAGCTCAGCGTGAACCGGAATGGTTTGTTTTCAGATTTTCTCACTCTCTGCCATCATTGTGGCTAGCTGCTAACGCTGCTGTCCGTACCGCAGCGCGCTCTTCTCGCTTCCTCCCTCAGGACTCTGCGACTCTTCGGGGTTCCCCCAGCCGAGGCAGGGGTCCGGACTGCCTGAGTGATGATCATTCTCTGTCCGCGCCGTGAAGATGGATGAGAAGTCCAACAGCAGCCACCAGCGACTTGTTATCGTCCTGCTCATGGTGCTGATCTTTGGCGTGATTATGGTCCAGTATGTGTGCCCCAGCAAGTCCGAGTGCCGGATGCTGCACCACCTGGGCTCCTGGTTTGCTGTCGGCGGTGCAACTCGCACCCGGATCGGTGACAGTCCAGCCCAAGACGGGCTTCAGAAAGATCCGTACATCGCAGAGGATGGCGCTCTTAACCGCTTCGTTCCTCGTTTCAACTTCACCAAAGCAGATCTGAGCCGAGTTGTTGATTTCAACATCAAGGGGGATGATGTTATAGTTTTCCTGCACATCCAGAAGACTGGGGGCACGACGTTTGGTCGACACTTGGTGCGGAATATCAAGCTCGAGAGGCCCTGCGAGTGTCGCGCAGGTCAGAAGAAGTGTACGTGTTTTCGGCCTGGAAACAAGGAGACCTGGCTCTTTTCTCGGTTTTCCACCGGCTGGAGCTGCGGGCTTCATGCAGACTGGACTGAACTGACCAGCTGTGTCCCCTCACGAATGGATTCCCAGGAGACTCTCAAAATCCTGCCCAGGTTGGTTTAAAATGAAAGAAAACGGGGGCTTAGAAGGGCATCATACATTTAGGATTCAAAAGATTCAAGGTCCCAGTATAAAATGTGTGAAATACAAAAAAAAAAACAGTAATAAGATCTAAGATATGAACTAAGAAAAACGTTAACTAAAAATGCACTAATAGCATAAAAACAAACAGCAGCACGAACATGAGTCTGTGTGAGCAGATGAGTACGAATGAACACAGCAACATGATCAGCAGCAACTTGAAACAGATCAGCAGCAACATGTGATTCTTCACAGTGATTCTCCTGGTTAGAGTTACATGAGTCTAACAGCCTCAGGGTAGAAGCTGTTCCTCAGTCTAGTGGTTCTACACCTAATGCTCCTTAACCTCCTTCCTGAGGGGAGCGGGGCAAAAAGTGTGTGCTGGGTGAGTGGGGTCCTTCATGATGCAGGTGGCCCTCTTCCTGCATCTGGAGGTGTAGATGTCTGATGGTGGGGAGACGGACTCCAACAGATCTCTTTAATTTAAGGTAGACATTGCAAGTTATGAAATCAAAACAGAAACGTCCTCCTGGTTTGAAAGAGCTTACTCCAGTAGTTTTCCAAATATATTGATATGCAATTCTGAAATGCAGGCATGCAACCAATGTAAACAAGCGCTTACACATGAATGTACTACACAACAAATATTTTTGGACCTCGTCTCCATTGTTAACATATTTTCAATCGCTTCGGCTGATTCTGTGTTTTGGGTAAGTAAATTACTCAAAAAGAAAAGAGTTTCCCTAAAACGCACGTTAATTAATGCAACACATTTATTTTAAACTTACTAACTACAAAATAAAACTAAACATTGCCATAAAGTGATGATTTCATATTTTATATCAATGATAGTATATAAAGAATGTTGTTTTAGTTTATAGCACAATCTTCCACCTTATTTTTTTTTTACATGTTTTTTGTTTAATCCAGATGTTGATAACAATACTTGAAGTATTTATACATATAAACAAATTGATTTTAAAGAGATTGCACAAACCCAATGTTGTCTTCTTTTCTCTCCAGTAGAAACTATTACTATATAACAATCTTAAGAGATCCAGTGTCGCGCTACCTGAGCGAGTGGCGTCATGTGCAGCGAGGTGCAACATGGAAGGCCTCCTTACACGTGTGCGATGGACGTTCGCCAACGTTGTCAGAGCTCCCAAATTGTTACCCAGGAGATGACTGGTCAGGTTGCTCTCTGCTAGAGTTCATGGAGTGCCCTTATAACCTGGCCAACAACCGACAGACCCGCATGTTGGCCGACCTGAGTTTGGTGGGTTGCTACAACGTCTCCACTATGAGTGACGAGGAACGCTGGGCAGTGCTTCTGGACAGCGCTAAACGAAACCTAAGAGGGATGGCCTTCTTCGGTCTGACGGAGTACCAGCGTAAGACCCAGTACCTCTTTGAGCAAACCTTCAACCTGGAGTTCATCGCTCCTTTTACACAACTGAACGGCACACGTGCTTCCAGTGTTGATGTTCCTTCTGAGACACAGTACAGAATTCGCCAACTGAATCAATGGGACGTAGAGCTTTATGAGTACGCCCGTGACCTTTTCCTGCAGCGATTCCAGGTGGCGAGGCAGCAGGAGCGCAGGCAGGCCAGAGAGAGGCGACAACAGGAGAGGAGGCGGCTTCGTGGAAGGTTCGCAGCAAAGCAGGGGAGGTGGCCGAAGCCCACTGAAATGGCACACGTGACCAACGAGGTACATCAGAAAGAGAAGGCAACAGAGACCAGTGTGGAGTCAAAAGTAGTACTTGAAGAATGGTGGGATCTGGATGAGAATAGTACCATGGAGAACTACTCGGACAATGTGGAACAATGGTAACCGTTGGATGTCAGAAATACAAAGTGTGCCAAGCGTTGCCTTGTTTGTGTTCACTAATTCAGGATCTGTTGAGTAAATGTCTTTTTCTTCCACATTGCTTTTCCACTATAAGCTATTTTAGATAACACTTTAATTTATTGAAACCGTCTTTGTTCAAGCTGATTTACTTATTTGATGCTTTTATTTTTTTAAAGAAAAAAGTCAAGTCTTTTACATTTAGGCCTTCTACAATATTATTTTGGACTTGAAACACATTTGAGCTATTTTAAGGCTTAAAAAATGGACGGTTTTCATCACAACTGACGGTTTGATTCTGTATGTTTGTAGATTTAAATGACACTACTTTCTGTGATAACTGTGAGTTTGCCAAATTGTTTTTGAGTCAGACATTAGTACATTTTACAATGTATTTGTGTTTCTAAGTGTCTTTTTAATAGCAGAGAATAAGAATGGAGTTTTCTTAGATACCTCAATGTATAGTATTAACCACTAATGTTGTAAAATTACATTTGTTTCCTTTATATAAAATGCTTTTTCACTTATTCAATTGCAGATCTGTGTTTGCCATGCTGTCATATTTTTATTTTGGTGTATTATTTGTGCTGCACTTGCTGTCCCTCTGAAACACCAGCAGGGTGTGCTCAAAATTCTTAAAATTACTGAGACACTGACGAAATGATCAGTAACCCAAAGTACAGCACCACAAAGTACCACGTTTATGAAAGTAGTGGAAGTATGTGAGCGTCCGTTTGGTTTTATTTTGAAAAGACGAGGACCGGAAAACGACAAGAAAATCAAAAATGTAAACACTAAGAAATAATTTTAAATTCTATTTGTTTTTAGTAGAAAGAAATGTAAATCTTTTGCGGCGTTTAGTTTTCTAAACAGGCGTTAAAATGTTAAAGTCGTTAACTGTTAGCAAAAATGGCTACCCTTCAGTCTGTTAGCCAAGCTTAGCTTAAGTAAAAAAATATATATATATTTTAATTTACACATTAGAGTTAAAAATATACAGGTGCTTGTCATAAAATTAAAATATCATGAAACAGTTGATTTATTTCAGTAATTCCACTCAAAAAGTAAAACTTGTATATGATATTCATTCATTACACAGCCTGATATATTTCATATGTTTATTTATTTTAATGTTGATTATAACTGACAACTACTGAAAACCCCAAATTCAGTATCTCAGAAAATTAGAATTTTGTGAAAAGGTTCAGTATTGAAGACACCTGGTGCCACACTCTAATCAGCTAATTAACTCACCTTTAAATGGTCTCTCAGTCTAGTTCTGTACGCTACAAAATCATGGGGAAGACTGCTGACTTGAAAGTTGTCCAAAAGACGACCTATGACCTTGCAAAAAGAGAGCAAGACACAAAAGGTAATTAGGCTGGCTGTTCACCGAGCTCTGTGTCCAAGCACATTAATAGAGAGGAGAATGGAAGGAAAATATGTGGTAGAAAGAAGTGAATAAGCAATAGGAATAACCACACCCTGGAGAGGCTGGTGAAACAAAACCCATTCCAAAATGTGGAGGACATTCACAAAGAGTGGACTGCAGCTGGAGTTAGTGTTTCAAGAACCACCATGCACAGATGAATGCAAGACATAGGTTTCAGCTGTCACATTCCTTGTGTCAAGCCGCTCTTGAACAAGAGACAGCGTCAGAAGCATCTTGCCTGGGACTGCTGCTGAGTGGTTCAAAGTTATGTTCTTTGATGAAAGAAAGTTTAGCATTTCCTTTGGAAATCAAGGTCCCAGAGTCTGGAGGAAGAGAGGAGAGCCACAGAATCCACATTGATTGAGGTCCAGTGTCAAGTTTTCAAAGTCAATGATGGCTTGTGGTGCCATGTCATCTGCTGGTGTTAGTCCACTGTGTTTTCTGAGGTCCAAGGTCAACGCAGCCGTCTACCAGGAAGTTTTAGTGCACTTCATGCTTCCTGCTGCTGACCAACTTTATGGAGATGCAGATTTCATTTTCCAACAGGACTTGGCACCTGCACACTGTGCCAAAGCTACCAGTACCTGGTTTAAGGACCATGGATAATATCCCTGTTCTTAATTGGCCAGCAAACTCACCTGACCTTAACCCCATAGAAAATCTATGGAGTATTGTGAAGAGGAAGATGTGACATGCTAGACCCAACAATTCAGAAGGGCTGAAGGCCACTATCAGAGCAACCTGGGCTCTCATAACACCTGAGCAGTGCCACAGACTGATCGACTCCATGCCACGCCACATTGCTGCAGTAATCCTGGCAAAAGGAGACCCAACTAAGTACTGAGTGCAGTACATGCTCATACTTCTCATGTTCACTCTTTTCAGTTGGCCAACATTTCTAAAAATCCTTTTTTATTGGTCTTAAGTAATATTCTTATTTTCTGAGCTACTGAATGGGGTTTTCATTAGTTGTCAGTTATAAACCTCAACATTAAAATAAATAAACATTTGAATTATCAGTCTTTGTGTAACGAATGAATATACAAGTTTCACTTTTTGAATGGAATTACTGAAATAAATCAACTTTTTCATGATATTCTAACTTTATGGCCAGCACCTGTAGATTGGTTTTAACTTCTCTAAAACACTTGAACGTTAGACGATCGTTTCTCAACATCCGGTTGGTTTTATTTTGAAAGAACATGAACCGGAAAATCAACGTACGGCGTCAATTTAATAATCTGATAAATGAGTAAAATCAATTACAATAGTTAAAAACATTTTTATTTGGTTTTATTACTTAAAAAAATAACATATATGTATATGCGAAATTTGTTTTAACAGATTTTTAAATAGACATAAATTTAAATTGCCAATTAACTGTTAGCAAAGTCGGCTCCTTGAGTGCTGTTAGCTAAGCTAGCTTACATGTTTTTTATAGTAAAGAATGCCAATTGCATACTATATTTTACTCCTATAAACTAGTGTTTTGTTAATATTTATTGTGCCCAATTTTGACGTATTTGCGACAGAGGAATACATATTTTAAGGTACAGTTTCCGTTCAACCCTTATTATGTCTTTGTCTCGGTATATGTGGTTTGAATTGCTGTCATTCACACACCTATTACATTACTGTTTACCACCACAGCGTACCCTTTCTACATCTGTGTATGATACTATATAAACGAACTAGCACTCCCTGTCGTCCAACTCCTCCCACTTCATCTGACCCTCCCTGTCTTCTCGGTTTCTTCCTCCCTAATGTCTCATCTGCTCTGACTGGGAGCGCAGTCTGTTTTGCTGCCGAGCAAATGTAGCTGCAAATAAAGTTTTCAGCCGCAGACCCCCGCTTCTGCTCCTTGCTGCATGTCGCTTTCACCCGCTTTGATTTGATCTCATTCTTGCACATTTTATTTTATGTTGCCCTTCTCTCTCTCTGTCACTTCAAGGCTGCGCAGAATACAGTAACCTGCAGGCTTGACAGGAAGTCTTTGCGGAAAACAACGACCCAATAAACGCTTCAGTCGAAGGCGTTTATTCAAGTATTCCGTCTGGACTAACAGCAGGTATGAGCACTTCTTGACTTGGCATCATTTTGACGCATTGTTTGGCTGTATATGTAATCTATTTTGCATCTGTTCATAAATCTACGCCTTCATTCTCCTGCCTGTTGCATGGAGGACCAGGTGCCTTTTGTTGTTAAAGCTAAGGCAATAACTCATAATGTTCTTATAAAACATGAATTACAGATATCTTAATTGAATTTTCTGTTTGTTTTGTGTAGAAATGATGTCATGAACTGGTGCTTTAATCCAGACAACATAAAAAGATTTTGATCTCTTACAATATCTTGTAAGATTTTTACAATTATGCTGTGTTTTTAAGTACAGTGAATGCACTAAGAAAATATATTACTTTCTTGAATCGCATTCTTTAAAATGATAATGACCTTTAGTCAACCGTAAAGTGAAAATGAAGACCTCCAGGTTTTTGCTTGTTGCATGCATGCAGGATTTTATTGTCTGTGCATGCATGATTGCAGCGAGTGAGCGCAGAAAATCGTGAAGTCTTGTCCTTTGTTTGTCCTATTAGGGGTCAGACTGTAGCCACCATCATGGCATGCTGCTGTCGTTACGTCTCATACAGTAAATTCTGTATGCAGTCGTGCAGAATGCACTGACTTTATCTTGTCCTCCTCTAACAATGCAGCCAGTCAAGACAAGTTCTCGCTCCCTCCTGGTTTTGGACTCTGTACCAGTCAGGCTAGTTTTTTCTTTACTTAATATAAACACAGATAAACTGACAAACACACACACACAAGGGCGCCACTATTCCCACACTATCTGCTTTCATTTCTCTTTTCACACAGATACATATTAACTGCCCAACGTCTTGTAGAGTTCAACCTTTCACCAGCACAGAAGCAGAAATCACTTATAAAAATCAAGTGTTACTGTGTAATTTATATGTTATATTTACCCAGTATTGTTTTGTTTTTGTTTTGTAGAGCGGTTCCGTATCTCACATCAGGGAAGTGAAATGTTGAACATAGTGAAAACAAATGTAATGCTCCAGCTAATGTTCAGTTTACTTTCAGACTCATAACTTTAGTTATTATTATTTAGCGTCCCAAGGATTATGTTGTCTTTCGGTTTTGTCGCTCTGTGATGAAATATGTTGTTGTACGGTTGTTCAAACGAGAGTTGTGGTGTTTTAATGAGCTGAACGGATTACTGATACTTAACCTAATTACTTTGCTCCCTCCACCCTGGCTGCTGGCTTTCAATCTCATTGTGATTTATTTTATAGATTGGTTTTCTTACGCTTTTAAATCAATCACCTGGTTGCTGATGTTGGACTGTTTTGCAATCATTCTTGTCACTTCTCCTTAAAAGAGTGCTCTGGTTGTAACTCTGAGATAATTTAGCAAGGGATAAGAGTTGTGCTTTCACAGCTTTAGTACTTGTTACACAACTACTTGTATATCGAAAACTGGAATCGTCCACACTTTTGGAAATGGAGTAACTTCATCTCTAAGTGAGGCCAAAATAAAACACATTGGAAACAAAAAATCCTTTCTGTTTTTTCCCATTCTATTAAAGCTAAAC